TAAGACTGTTAAAATCTCTATCGGCAGGTCACATGACATGTCATGTGACATTTCCATGGAAAGAAATTCAATTGAAAATGGGGTAACCAGAACATACATTGAAAATGTCGGTTTTAGGTTAATATTATCTCTTAGTAGGTTGTCTTCAAGTCTTGTCCTAGAATGGTTGTCCATCACTTGCCGTTAAGGAGATATTTGGTGAAATAGGTCACGTGACCTAAATTCACTTCTGAAAATCTGCTGTTTTCTCCTTATTTTATTTAGAAAGTCATCCATTCTAGGACAGGTCTTGTTGGTTTAGGTCTACTAAATACTTTGAAATCAAAAAAACTTTCATTAAAGTACATTCTCATTACCCCATTTTGAAATTACTGTTTTTTCGTCTTTTGGGTCACGTGACCTCCATATTTGGACAAAACATATTTAAAAATTCCAAGGATCATGATTCTCTTCATGACACCAAAGCTTATTCCTCTACAGTAAATGTTAGTTAAAATATAACGTTTTTAATTTTTTTGATATCGCCTAAAATCCCAGGCCTTAACTCACTTGAGAAGGCGCTCAGTTTGCCTAAAGAGTGAATCTCCTCGTTCTAGTGTACTTGATTTACATGATCTGTAGACCTAGTAGGATTTTAGGCTTGTTTTCTTGACTAAACCAATAGCAAGAGTAAGTCCCAGCCATGATTTCAGTTCATTTCGGATGAGATTCTTCAAATCCCCTTCACTATCCTGATCTAAACCTCGCTTCTGCTCTTCAAAACGTTTAGTTCCCCTCAAGTATCAAACTGTAAACTTCTTCGGTGAAAAATAGTTTGAAGAAGTCTTTACATGTGCTATTGTTGGGCATGTCTATTGTCAAACCAACTTGTTCATTAAAAGCAAAGTCGGTTGATGTGTTTATTGCTGTATTCCAGCGAAGATTATCTAGATTATCTGCTCCATTTGTGCTTGATGCACTTTCTTGTTCTTCGTCACTTTCATCTTCGGAGTCGGAACCAGAAGAATCAACATCTGAAGGCTCTTCTTGGTCCGAATCACAGTGTGAATCACACGAATAGATGATAAAGGAATATCGTCTTCGTGGATAAAAGTCAATTGCAACTCGTTTTGAGCAGCCATAGCTGCAAAATAACATCAAAACAGCACCAAAATGTTGTCTGTTTACATCTTGAAGTGTGAAATTTAAAAGGACTTGCCAAAGAATTTGATACTTGAGGAGAAAAAATTACTTAAAAATCCAGAATTATTTTTCAGAAGACAAAAAGGAAAAAAGAAAAGGCTTTGAACCATATTATAGAAACTTCATTTAAGTATCCAACATAAAAKTTTTAACTTCTAGATTGAATTAGCAAAGATTTTAGAAGAAGTTACAGATTTAGAATTGGCCTCTGAATGTAATGTCCACAACGTGGAATCGCACATATACCCAATAAAACTAGCACTTGAGTTCTATCAACGTCTTCTAGAACTCCAACATCCAGAAATTGTTATCATCTTAGAAAACAGCTGAAAAATGCGAAAACAGTGATAATGCATATTATACACACAAGAACGGCTAGTCTATGCTAAAGTGCATGTCTGCATATTGATTTGAACTTATTTCAAACCTAGAAAAGGTCTATGATGCGACATTTAACTGACACGCGTCATTATAACTGGCACGCGCTGATGAACTTGAAAATCAGTTCTTTATATCTGAAAGAACTAATTAATAAAACGTCAGCGCTTTATCGGGATATAAAAAAGTCGTCATGTGACCCAGTATAGCTCTATGCTTATTGAACTAATAGCTCATGAATTATTAATGAGTTTTAGAATTCAAACTAAAGCCCTTGTATGCCAAGGATGGAGGGTTCTGGAACCYCTAGGACATRCACGCCCTGTTCAACGTTCGTGCAACTTGCGTACGATAACAACTGCATTTTTTCCATCGTCAAATGAAGCTGATTCTTACCTTACTGGGTTTTTAGTTTGATCCAGTCAGCAAATTTACTGATCCGGGTAAACACGGTGTAATGGACTGGCCTGCACCAGACATCACCCCAACTACCAATACCCTGTAGGACCCAGTGAGCTCCCTCTTTACACACCAAGGGTGCGCCATTATCMCCGCTACAGCCCGACTTGGTATCTAGTRAAAACGGGATGACTTAAATTCTGTTATTATACACCTATTTCAAAAACCATTGTCGTCGACAGGACACCTGCAAAGAATCTCGGGAATGCCGATTGACGGTTTGAAAACGTGGAATATTTTTTCTAGGAAAATGTCTCATGGCAGTGTTTGCCGCTATTGATTTCAAACCACATAGGCAAATGTATTTTGAATGTGTTAATTGCACATGGAAACCCCGAGATCCTTTGCAGGACTGTGGACTGTGTCCTGTTGACGACAACGATTTTRAATAGTTTATATGATTTAACTAGCCTGAGTATCAGGCTCTCTCGAAGGGGTTTGGGGCGGAGCGAGAAAGGAGAGAGAGCCTGACACAATCTTCTATCGAGAGCCGTTCCGCCTCCTTGCAATGCGTGACGCGCGACAATAAATTTAAGCCGATTAAAAGCTTTTCCGGTTTGCTTGATTTCTCGATGTGGCGGTTATATGTCAAAATTTATCTAGTACATGATTTCAAAAGTCGCAGCTTTTATGCCGATTTTTACCAGATTCTCAACTTGTGGACATCTAATAAGCTCTAGAGGATTGATCACTATAATCTTGAATTGTTTTACTCCGTTATAGGTCGGTGTAATGTTAGTGTTATATGAGACGTTTCCGTTAATCGGTTTGTTTTTGTACGCGTAAAAACAAACCGATTCAAGAACGGCTTGATAACGTAGTAAAAAAAAGAATAAAAGACAAGCCTCTGCAACCAGGTTACTATTAAAGCTTTCACAAATTGTTATACACTTATATCAAGAGTCATAGCGTCGTTCGGTAACATAATAATTATATATATTTTAATTCCTGTCACTTCCTTTGTCCTCTAGACCAATCAGCGTTTCGGCCATGAAACGGCCGCCGAACACGGCTCTCGATAGAAGATTGTGTCAGGCTCTCTCTCTTTTCTCGCTCCGCCCCAAACCCCCTCGAGAGAGCCTGATACTCAGGCTATGATTTAACCAACCATTTTAGCAGAGAGCAATAACGTCTTTATAAAGATTTTTGCCAGGATTGCATGTATCGGACAGCTGTAGTCCGAGGTTCTAATAAAGCAGCTGAAAAATGGACAAATTGCCCTATTTCGTTATGCCGTACAGTATCTTTACAACGGTCAAGGACGCTCAAAAACAGTGGAAATATGGACCACTATATATACTCTCTAAGTAGAATTATATCGTGTTTTGATTCATATCATGTATCAGACTGAGATCGCTCATGAACATTTTGTTTGATATGCAGTCAGTCTGATCTACTCCATAATCCTTAGCGTTAAAACAATGGTATAATTAACAAATAAATAAGGCTCAGCCGTGATTTATACTCTGATAAACGCACGCTTGGTATTTGAAACACACGAGAAAATGTCAAGAAGCACGAGCTGATAGTGAGTGCTTTTGAACATTTTTGAGTGTGTTTCAAATGCCAAGCGTGCGTTTATCAGAGTATTAACCACAGGCCGAGACTTATTTCTTTGTTTTATTATATAGATTTTGAGCAAAACGTAGGCAAAAATCCATTTTGTTGCCGTTTTCAAACCGTTCGCGCACAATCGTGGTTTATACTCTCATAAACCACACTTTTTTGGCCAATCAGAGCGCGCGTTAGAAATCATCTATATAATAACTTTGAATAATTGTTTGCAGGTGTGAAAGAAGGTTTCTATAATTGCACGCTCAACGGTCGTCTCGCTTTGATGCAAAGGCACGGCTACCTTTCAAGATGGCGCAGGGAACCGTGAAGAAGACCATTGGCAACAATGATAACGACAGTAACACTATAGCTTACTCCGACGAAGGATTAACGTCCGAAACGTCAGTAAGTTATTTCACATACTTTTTTTTCGGTGTTAAATCTTTTTACACAGCTATAGCTTACTTTGTCCATCACCACAAATCATAGTTTCCTCATCAACATGAACAGTCTTAATCCAAAAAACATTTGACATCTTCTTGGCACAGGAGTCATGGGAAGTTATTGTCATTTCTGCTTCTTGTAGTTTCTGTGGGATCGTGATACTGTAAACGTCGAACTTTTCTGTGTTGTTTNTCTTACCTTACTGGGTTTTTAGTTTGATCCAGTCAGCAAATTTACTGATCCGGGTAAACACGGTGTAATGGACTGGCCTGCACCAGACATCACCCCAACTACCAATACCCTGTAGGACCCAGTGAGCTCCCTCTTTACACACCAAGGGTGCGCCATTATCCCCGCTACAGCCCGACTTGGTATCTAGTGAAAACGGGATGACTTAAATTCTGTTATTATACACCTATTTCAAAAACCATTGTCGTCGACAGGACACCTGCAAAGAATCTCGGGAATGCCGATTGACGGTTTGAAAACGTGGAATATTTTTTCTAGGAAAATGTCTCATGGCAGTGTTTGCCGCTATTGATTTCAAACCACATAGGCAAATGTATTTTGAATGTGTTAATTGCACATGGAAACCCCGAGATCCTTTGCAGGACTGTGGACTGTGTCCTGTTGACGACAACGATTTTAAATAGTTTATATGATTTAGCCAACCATTTTAGCAGAGAGCAATAACGTCTTTATAAAAATTGTTGCCAGGATTGCTTGTATCGGACAGCTGTTTTTGGCAAGGATTGTATTTCCCGAGGTTCTAATAAAGCAGGTGAAAAATGGACAAATTGCCCTATTTCGTTATGCCGTACAGTATCTTTACAACGGTCAAGGACGCTCAAAAACAGTGGAAATATGGACCACTTTATATGCTCTCTAAGTAGAATTATATCGTGTTTTGATTGATATCATGTATCAGAGATCGCTCATGAACATTTTGTTTGATATGCAGTCAGTCTGATCTACTCCATAATCCTTAGTGTTAAAACAATGGTATGATTTGAAATATCGATGAAATAGTTCAATTTCATTTGAAATAGTAGCGTGGTTTTCAGAAATCACTTGTGAAACAGAGGGTCTTAAAATCTTAATATTAATTGGCGACAGAGATAAATCTGACAATAGTCTCCTTCCCTGCGCCATCTTGAAATCTAGCCGTGCCTTTTCATCCAAGCGAGACAACCCTTGAGCTTGAAATGATAGATACTTAACAAATAAATAAGGCTCACCCGTGGTTTATACTCTGATAAACGCACGCTTGGTATTTGAAACACACGAGAAAATGTCAAGAAGCACGAGCTGACTTATTTATTTGTTTTATTATATAGATTTTGAGCAAAACTTAAGCAAAAATCCATTTTGTTGCCGTTTTCAAAAACCGTTTGCGCACAATCGTGGTTTATACTCTCATAAACCACACTTTTTTGGCCAATCAGAGCGCGCGTTAGAAATCATCTATATAATAACTTTGAATAATTGTTTGCAGGTGTGAAAGAAGGTTTCTATAATTGCACGCTCAACGGTCGTCTCGCTTTGATGCAAAGGCACGGCTACCTTTCAAGATGGCGCAGGGAACCGTGAAGAAGACCATTGGCAACAATGATAACGACAGTAACACTATAGCTTACTCCGACGAAGGATTAACGTCCGAAACGTCAGTAAGTTATTTCACATACTTTTTTTTCGGTGTTAAATCTTTTTACACAGCTATAGCTTACTTTGTCCATCACCACAAATCATAGTTTCCTCATCAACATGAACAGTCTTAATCCAAAAAACATTTGACATCTTCTTGGCACAGGAGTCATGGGAAGTTATTGTCATTTCTGCTTCTTGTAGTTTCTGTGGGATCGTGATACTGTAAACGTCGAACTTTTCTGTGTTGTTTACCATGGTAACCGTCATGTTGACATCACTGATGCCCCAACCTATGATAGTCAGAAAGAGCATTATTCAATAAACCTCTAATTATCGGCCACCCTCCACTAAGCGGTCACTTATAGTTAATTTGAATCGAGATTGACTTTGAACAAATCCATCGAATTCAAGTATTTCATTTAGTAATGGCCCGAGTTAGAACTATAGAAGCAAACGGCAAAGGAATGCAAGAAAGTGTTAATTGTGTATTGTATAATCCATCCATCCCATTGGTTAAAACAAGGAAATTGCTATAATTTTACAAGTTAGCGCATTTTCTAATATTTCATTTAATATCTGATTCCGACTTCATGAAAGCTTTCTTTAGCTACAATATTAAGGCAATTCTAAGTGGGGAACATAGCAAATTAGAAGCTTCTTTTGGCTATTGTTTTGAGTGCTTATGATTGGATAAGAGGTTTTAATACAAAGAAACTTTGTTTCAAAATAGAGTTTATCCACATTTTATTTCAAAAATGCGTTACCCATAGGTTGATATATAATCAGTGTGAAAACCAAGACATTTGTATGTGGGGAAGTTGCAATGCCGCAAAACAATAGAGAGTTCTACAGTTCTTACGCGCATTGTYACTTAATGAGAATTGGTTCTTTTATYAGTATCCAAACAATATTTAATGACATCCGTGCCAAAAGCTCAAAAGSCTGATCYCCTTTKGAAGTAACAAGGGATTCRCGSCCCTAACGARATTAAAAATCKTAAGCAGATTTATTTTCAAGACATAAGAAAGACACTGAGAAATGATAGATTGAAATTAGTAACACAAATCAGTCTTYCTAACAATRCGCTTTTCAGAAATCAGCACCGTTCTTTTCGAGCCGAGTATTATAAGCAGCTCATGCAGYGMMGGTTACTGGTACATACCTAAGAACATACACTTAGTGCCAGTAGCTACTTTATGGCCCTGCTTTGGTAGTGCAGCGGTTGCTTGAATATCGTCTACCAATGGAATTGGTGTTTCCAGTTGAAGAAGAGCAACATCTGAAGCTAATGTTGTGTTGTTGAAATCTTCGTGAATAATAATCTTCTTGACTTTGTAACCGTTTTGAAGGGTGGTCACGTTTTGGGGCACCATCTTTAGTCCTAAAAGAAAATATATAACTGCATTTTTTAGTGTTTGCTTTAAGGAAGAGAACAGCAACACATGGAAAAAAAGCTAAGACGCGACGAATGACTTTTTGGTTTCAGAATGAATAAATATATACCGGCTTTGTATAGTCAAGATCTTCAATGGAAAGCAATTTTAATTCAAACCTAAAAGTTTGGAATTGTCATCTTGAAACGCARCTAACATAGAATTTAAAAGCAACCTTGYGAAGCGGTCTTTATTATGGGAATRCACTATGCAGTACATGTATAAGTATTCAAGGTTAYCTAAATTCTATTATTCATACCGGGGAATACGGTCAGTGCACTTTTCTTGGTGTTAWAGGCACACTTAGCTGACGTTAATATCCAGTCTGCGTTGATTACAACCCCTCCGCAACGTGGCAGGTATCGCCAAGTCTTCCTTATGAATACCTGGAATGGATACGAATCAGCTTTGGCAGCTTGACCTCCAAGCACACGTTTGGCGAGACTTGGTTTCCTGCTCGTTGGTCCTGGCACCGATATAAAACGATAATGTAAGAAAGAGATATTACATGGGCGCGCGGAGATACGGATTTTATCTTCGAGTGTTGAAAAGATCTCTCAAGAGTGAGCGTAGCGAACGAGTGAGAGATTTTCAACACGAGAAGATAAAATTCGTATATCCAAGCGACCATGCAATATTCTGTTTATCATATGATTAAATATGAAAAGCAAATTATGTCGTAAAATGCCTTTTTTCTTACTTCCACTATATAGAGAAACCTCGAATGTGTTATTTTCACTATTGAAAAAAACAATTTTGCGTAATGGAAAAATAAAGGTATTCATAGATAATTATGACTCGCGTAAAAAGTCCAACATGGCAATGTCGTAAAAAATGGGAAGGAATTACTAAGTAATTCTTTTTACTATTTTTACAGCTCATAGAATGATATGTTTTAGGTGTGGTCAATAAACGGAAAAGAGAATAAAGAAAATTGAAATAAACGTACAACATTGTTGCAGTTTCATCTTTACCTCTACCTAAGAATGGCAAAGAGCCGCTCCATGTTGTCGGAAAAAGTTCAAAGCAGACAAATAAAAAGAGTGCAAGGACGACAATCGAGAACTTCATGTTGTCAGCTCACTAGTTGGTGTAGACTAACTGATGCGTGTACATGGACRTCAGGAGTATATTTCACGTGTAGTTATCGGATCGTGGGATCTTGCTCATTAGACAGTCATTGACTTTGAGAATAATAGCTCATTTTGAAATAACATGGAATGAAATGCCTTTCCCATATCTGCTTCCCAACAACTTTTATACACAGTTATATAGTGCGGGGAAAGAAATTTCGAATCCACCGATCCCANAGTTGGATGGTATGTAGCATGTTCTTCATCTTCACCGTCCGAAATGACCTGCATTACTTGAGGGCTAGGGTGTGAAACCTCTGCTTTGTCCAAGTTTGGTTGCGCCTGCAACTTTGCCAACATCTTTCGGTACCTGCAATTATACAAATCATTTCATATGAAAAGATCTATTATTAAAGGAGAGATGAAATGCCCACTAGATATAATACTTACAATCCAGGGGTTTTGAGTTTGGTGATATCATGCTGTCTAAAATGGTGGATGTGGTTTCGAAAGATATCATCGCAGCCGTCTAAGGGGCACTGACTGAAAAGACAGATTACGTTAAGGTGTGCATTCAATTTTTTTTTTTTTTTTTCAACGTAAGCAGACTCCCATTTAATTTGATATATGTGCCTTACCGCAATGGATTAGATGGTCTGGACGAAACCGTTCTTTTTCTTTTAATATCACTCTCGGTCCAATCAGGGTGTCTCCTGCGGACGTGTCTCCACACCTGCGAATGATACTCCCCGCAGTTGGGATAGGGACAAAGCTTRCGGTCTCTTKTTTTCTTTTTACCAYATGCAGAAGTCTCACCAGTCAAGCCATCAAGAGAACCACAAGTCAAAGGAGGAGGACAAGAAACAGAGGCAGAACAACCAGGAGCAGAAAGAACAGCCGTTGGAGAACGAATAGAAACATCACAGTCCAAACTCATAGAAGAACCAGAAGGAGACGAAGCGACAGGAGTAGAAGCAAACGAAGAAGCAACCACAGGCACATTTAGAGAGGGACCAGCGAAAGGACCAACAGAATCGGAAGAGGCAGTTGGTAGTTGGAAATTTTTAGTTGGTCCGTGAGGAGGTTCTCCAAGTCCAGATTGTAAGGCCCTCATTTCTTCTTCCCGACGGGCTTTCCATTTATCCCGCTGTTTTCTCTTTTGCTTCTTCATTTCTCTGCGACGATACCTGTCCTCCTCTACGCTGGCCACCTCTTTTGTGCCATCGAGACCAAGAAGTTCATAGTCTTCTTCTAAAAGCATGAATATGCAGCTATATAATTAATTATTAAGCTATCACTGAAATAGTATGTTTCATCATTTTCGTGTCAAGTAGTTACCTTTCAGCTCCTCCAAAGAAGAAGAGTCAGAGACGGAACTCACTGCATACAGTGGTATTATGCGGTAGTCAATTTCTGTAAAGATAGTATTGTTTATTAAAATCGTGGGGCTGTTTTGAATACTTTGAGTACTAACCTTTCTGTGCTCCCAGCTCAGTCGGGATGGGTAGCCCAGCCAAGGTGATTTCGGGGAGGTCGATTTGATGGTCCCTCTTCATAACATCTCTTAGTAAGTAAGTAAGTAAGTAAGTAAGGACTTTATTTAACGAGGGTAAACACGTAATAGTATACAATACTAATAAACTTGTGGCCCTCGATACTGTACTGTGTCTTACACTGTGCATTGTCAACATAATAATTATTAAAGGTATTTACTCTCAAACTCGATCTTGTATATGCATGCGCCTACCAGTCGTGCGATGGCATAATTTTCTGCCTCTTCTGCCTGATGGTAGCACTCTTTCAGGGCATGTGCAGACACAGCGAGGTTATTTGAAGACAAGCTAGCCATTGTGGTGAGCTAGTCAAGAACCAACCACAAAAGAAATGTCCACAAAAATACTTACAATGCTAATAAGCATAGTTTACAACACGGACGACTTATTGACTTATGAAACATNTTGTCGGCGAATAGTATTCTGGGAGGTCTTTTCCACGATCGAAAATCCACCGAAAATCCAATATGGCGACTGTAATTTGTCGAAATACGAACGAGGTTATAGTTATAATTCTTGCCTTATTGCCTACAATTTGGTGGCATATTTGAGTACAGTAGATACCTCACATATATCTTATCACCTGGATGCTATTTGTTAAGCAAAAGTATTCACTGGATATTTTCTTTAAGCAATCCAAGTCGTCTAAGTTAAGCTTAAGAAAGAGATTCAACCAGTTGCTAATAATATGGATCGATACGCTTTTCATTGCAGAAAAATCTAATYTTATTGTTAACTTATATTGTCTGTTGTGAAATTGTATTTCCGGATCTTCCACGTAAGTATGTTATGAACGTAAAGCATTTTTGCTTTGCTTAAAAAGGTACGTAAACTTAAGACTTAAGTGTATTGACATTGTGCAATAGTTCACAGATGATATCAAAATTTCTTTACTAGTATATCAGTGTTGCAACTTTGCTTATCGATCAGTTAGCTGATTTGTGTTGCAACTTTGCATGCTTATTATCCATATTTCAAAGTTAAGGTCGCTGGCTGTCTAGTTTTTCCAATTCAAAATTATCACTTTTAATAATTGTCAAGATGGCTGGTAGGTATAAATTACACCGTACGTGTTCTGTATTTGTACGAACATTTTTCGCACATTTAACTTAAGTAAGTTATAAGTATCTCATTTGCATTTCTGCATTTTTAGTAAACATATTAAKAATCTTTGCATTCATGCTGTGAACCCAGTTTTATAGCTAGAAATGTATGCAACAATCTAAAGAAATCCCTACAAATTAATTAGTAAATTATGATTATTATATTTGCGTTTAGAAGGATCGAAAATTGATTGCCTGCTATKTGTTTTTAAATTGCAAAACATACTAATAATTATTTTCTTGTTTCCTTTAGATAAAGATGAGCAATTACCTCACAAAAATAAAAAAAGGACAACCAAGGTATGTACTTATTTACTATGCTTAAAATTCCTAGTACATGTGGGAATGGCTTCTTTCTTATAGAAAACAATAGAATAAACAATTGATTTATACACACATTCAAGRCTATACTTGCTTAAACTGGAATTTTGAGAACAGTCAATTGTAACCTGCAACACACTATTCTAGGCCATGCAGTGGCTGGTTGCACAAAGGGTGGGTTGTACTATCCAAACATTTCACCTTCATTCTGATTGTCAACATCTTTTCTCTTTCATGTAGAGTTGCCTMAATTGTGGTTTTGAGAACCCAGTTGCAAAAAAAAGTTGCCATAGTTGTGGCAATCCATACCCAAAGAGACAGAAAGACTGGGATAAGATCTATAACATGGGTGCTACAAACATCACAAAACAGCGAGAAATTATGGAATTTCGTGTAAGTAACATACCAGTAAACAATGAACCATAAAGAATAATTATGTTCCTATTAAAAGTTATAAAATCATATGCACATTACTTTAACTATGTATAAACAGCATCAATCTGTGTACTTACTATTGTTATGTACTGGTATGATTTAAAAAAATCAAGGTGTAATTTTGACCATCTAATGCTTTAAGTAAACAAAGTCTTAAATATCGCTTGTTTTTAAGTCTGGAAAATTGTTTTCTGCTTTTGGCACTGAGTTGTGGAGTACAAGAAGGTAGCTTAATCCACACTTCAAAACAGTATTATTATGATCAGTACACAGAATATGAGAAGATACTTGTCCTTATTGTCTTCTTTTTCTTGTTGAAAGCTAAAAAGGGTACTACATTTCTGTTATTTAGTGATTGTATATATAGTGAGAATTATATCAGCTTT